TTCTGATTCATCTCTCATTCTGTGGAACACCTACTTAGCAGGAAAAATTGTACTTCAATAAAGAATTTCCTTATGTATTCACTAGCAAGGCAAGACAATTTTTCATCAATTCAGTATGGTATAATCTAGCATATAGCTTGTTTGACTAATGACTTGCAAGCCAATTATATAGCCCCTCAGATCTGCCTTGTAAACACTTTCCAGGCACCCCAAATTATACTTGTGCTTGAAAAGGGATTGTGAACTAGAAATAGGTCAATAAAATGTCAGTTCTCACCCATCCTTGTCCTCCCAAGGCCAAGTTCTAGAATGTCTATATAGAATGCAAAGTGTCAAGGTATTTCTAAGCTTCACTGCTAGAAGTACCAATTGGTATGCACAAGCAGTAGAAGAATGTCAAAGAGTCTTCAAATCTATGTGTATCTATGTGTATCCCTACATTTCATTCTCAGGTGACAGTATATATAGGAAGGATATTCTTCATCTTTAACACAAACTCGCAGATTAGAAATTGACTATCAACCAGAATCTGGAATCTGTTTTTTCGAGAAAGAACAAGTTATATGACAGATATTAAATAGGATTTCTGCAACTTTTGTCTGTGAAAGGAAGTTGCAGGACAATGAAAGAAAAGGATACAGCTACAACCTCTGGCTATGGCTATGTTACCAGGTTATTTCAAAAGAAATTACTTTGAAATAATAACTCCTGAAATAAATATTTCTAAATAAGCTTATTCCTCTTCACAAGCAGGAGTTATTATTTCAAAATAACAAGCCCATTATTTTGAATTAACAGGGTTGGCTTGCCTTGTTATTCCAAAATAAGGGGAGTTATTTCAAAATAACTTCTCAGTGTAGAGATGTCCTTTAGGGCCAGCCATCACTAAAGACTGAGAGAAGACAATTATAACTAGAAATAGTAGTTGTTTTGCCAGTTTAATTTATGAACTCCATACCTTGTGGTATAATTTTCATTGTCTCAATGTAGTCTTTCAGAAACAGTACCCCATTTTTCAACACGCTCTACTCCAACTAAATTCTCAAAATTGGCCATCCTTCCTGGTCAAAAGTTGAAATATTGACAAAAATTGTTTAAAATTACCATTTTTGTAAGACAAAGTCTAGTTTTGAGCCTTGATCTGAATCAACAATAAACAGGGCCCTAATCATGACATTCATTCCCCTGAATAGAGCCTTATCTAGTTCAGGAATATCAAGGAGCTCATAAGAGACCATTAGTTTTAATCACCCTTCTCTTGAACTATCCTGAAACCTCCAGAAAGACAGTTTGAATCAAAACTGTATCACCTTCGTCTGAAGAGTTAACTACAGACAGTTAATGAATGAAGAGCACGTATAACCTACCATGTCTACGTTACACATTTGTATGGAATTTAGTAGGCCTAGACTTCTCACTGTTTCCTCCACCTCTTCCTGTATGTAGCCATGGACTTTAAGTATCCCACAATTTCCAGGTTCTCAACAGCTGCAGATGTTACCAGTACCTTCACTAGAAGCCAAATGAAAAAAAGTCAGCCAACCGCTGCAACCACTTGTCTTACTTGGGCTACTCTTTCTGTTCCCATCATGTTTTATTCCTGGTTTGTTTGCTTTCTCAAAAGAAAGTGCCTTACTAATAATTTGTAGTAAGCATCTGATTGCATGTAACTGAGATCCAAAGGGAATTTGGAATAGAGCGCTCAGAATCTGCCCAGAAGGATACATAAATACCACCATTGAGCTGGGTATAGGCAACTGGTTTTAAAATGACTAGGGCCCTACCAAACTCACAGTCAATTATGATTAACTTCACAGTCATAGGATTTGAAAATTGGTAAATTTCATGTTTTCAGATGTTTAAATCTGACATTTCATGGTGTTGTAACTCGGGGGTGGTCCTGACCTAACTGGTAGTTGGGAGAGGGGGATAATGGGATTGTCACCCTCACTTTTGTGCTGCCTTCAGAGCTAAACTCTCTCCCCTGCCCTGACAGAGCTAGGAACTTCCTTTGCAGTATTGGGAAGATTGGACTCCCAGACAGTGTCCTGCTGCAGTGTCCTATTTCCCACTTCCCTCTGAGCAGCTGTGCAGGAAAGGGACAAATCCTGTCCCTCTCCAGCCCTGGGAAAACTAGTAGCCCCCTTATCTAGGGAACTCCTAGGAAGAAGGGGACATTGGATTTCATGCCTGGGGAAGGGCTTATTTCATGGTCTGTCACTCATTTTTCATAGTTGTGAATTTGGTAGGGCCCTAAAAATGAGGAAGGAAGTTTTGTCCATCGTCGGGTATCTGTAGAAAACCTGAATACATCAGACACAATGGATAATATTGCTCTAGTGTTGATACTAAGGATCAGATGGTTCCATTTGCTCAACCATCAGCCAAACATTGAGACACATAAATAAAAACATAAATACCACTTGTAAGACAGGAAGAATCCCCCTGATCTTAGCAACTGAAGTTAAATAATGTCAACAATGTGACACAGGAACTACACTGACATACAGATATTAACCAAGTACCAGAGAGCCACATAATATCTAATGCTGATGTTATTTTGAAAGTGAAGAACATTCCTCCAGTTGGAAACCACTGGTAGTTCTTTCAGAGCCATCTGCAAAGCAATATTACTGCCAATAGAGTTAATCCGGGTAAAGTAAAGGAACAAAACAGAGGCCAGTGCTGCTGCTAAAAGATTTCCTACGTACTGACGGAGAATTTAATCCGAGACTTTGGATGGGGGCCCAAAACTCCTACCAAATCAATTCCAGATACCCTTCTTAAGCAACCAGCTTTATTCAGGAATGCATTCCAGGGCAAAAATCTCCAGGATACTCAAGAAAAAGTTTCTGCAACTGCCCAAACAAAAGGCAAGGTCTTTTGTACTGCCTTACCCCCTTTTCACTGACCACTTACAATTGCATACATATACAGGTCATGCCCCTTTGCACCAAATTCCCTCCAATCATTATTTGTCCCCTCACAGTCCCTTTGCAGGCCTTACAACAGGTTCAAACCAGTTTCACCTATCCTCTCCTTTTGTATACCTGTGTTCAAGCACGTACCTCTTTACAAAGACCAGACTTAACATCCAGGTCACACAGAGGTCATACTGACAAAAAATTAAGTTTATCCTTCATTCCCCCCTTTGATCCACTTGTGGATCACAATTAATCTGAAGCATCCTTTCCCATTCATCCTCAAACGTGCAAGCGTCCGTGTAGTCTCTCTCAGGAGGGTTCTGTACATTTAGCAGAAGCATCTGTTGTACCTTGCTTTCTGCTACATTCTCTATCTTTTGTAAGCACCTTTTAATACAGCATAAGGCTAGCTGTATCATTATGTATATAGAGCATATTAAGACAAGGAACATCAATATTCCTCCCACCACTTTCTTCATGAGTTCGCTTAACTCTATTCCCAACCAATTCAAAGGATTCCAGTCTTGCAACTGCTCTCTAAATGTTTTTGTCTGGACAGACAATGTTTGGATTTCCTTTATCCTTGTGGTTAGGTTTGAACTCACATCAGAAACTTTAACACAACACTCTGGGCCTATTAATCCACATACCCCTCCTTGAGCTGCTAGTAGATAGTCAAGAGCAAGTCTGTTTTGCTGGGTAAAAATTCGCAATTCATTTAAATTTTCTTGTACCACACCTAGTGCCCCCTCTGTGGTATTCATGAATTTCTCCATAAGCAGGGACATTGTTTTTAAATCATGATTTGTTTTTGCCTGCCCTACCCATGGGATGGTAGTTTCAGCTACTGCAAGGGCAGTTTGTTCTATCCAGTTCCATGCTTCCTCCCAAGACCCATCCCGCTTGTTCATGATATGCCCTGGTGGCAAAGTGTCAACAATCCTCATAGCTGGTGTCACAAGACCGAGGTAACAAAACCCTGAGGCATTCTGCGGAAGCCTTTTATAGGCAAATTTACCGCATATCCACCAATAATTATACATGTTCCACGAGTCAGACTGATATATCATCATGGCTCGGTTTGCAAAAGTGGTCCTTGCAAAGGTCTGTACTAGTGGTCCCTCCCCATATGGTTGTTATTTCTGGTTTGAATAGGGTGCACCAAAGGTTTGCGGTAGACATAGTGGAACCATTATGCCATACATGTGTCCCATTCAGCTTTGTTATAATGTGTGTGCAGCTTGATTTCCCGACAAAGGTGGTACCTGTAAGATTCCTACATAGGGGGCTTGTACCACTGAATGATAATTGGATGCACCCAGTCTGGTTGAACCACACAGTTTGGTCATTTTGTTCCAGTAATGCATCACTTACTAGTCTGGTTTTGTTTAACAGAAGGGCACCTATTGGGTATCCACTATGCACACTTTGTGGTGCCCAGGCACACACCCAACAGTTAGTTTTGTTTGCGGCTCATGCCATACCTTCTGTCAGCTGCAGAAAGGTGTTAGTACCAATACCATTCCCCCCTTGGAGCCAAATAAGGCCTATACAAAGAGTTTAGCCATTGTGCAGGGATTGTAATCCTTTCAGCGCTTGTGCGGACGGAGGTTAAGTAAATCTGGAGGAAGGAAAACAGCTTTCAGAAAACCCACCGTCCTCTGATAAAGTGCCGGTAGGGTCATTGGCAAGGTCGGGTGTAGATTCTTTTGAAATGTCAACATGACTAGTAGGACCAGAAGGGATCTGGCCTGTAGTGAGAGCGTAGTGAACAAGGTCCAGGTCTTTGATTTCCGATGATGTATATCCCTCATTCAGGAGAAGTGATTCAATTTCTCTCTCAGAAAGCGGTAGAAAGTCGTTCTCTTCTGGCTCTGGGCTGACAGGTTCAGTAGGAGGCGATATGTCGGGAGAGGCAAATTCACACAACTTCTGAGGGTCAACGGTGCGGCGCACGTGGCTTGCGTGTATCCAAGAATCTCGCTCGGCTACCTTCACAGCCGTGTTGGTAGTCAGCAGGACCTGGAAGGGACCATTCCACCTTGGAGATAAAATAATTCTAGAGGAAAGACTGCCTATCAGGACCCAATTTCCTGGTTGCACATCATGGCAAGGCACATCAGTTGGGACAGGTAAGGCTTCTGCAACCTGAGAGGAGAGACTAAAAGCAATTTTAGACAGATGTATACAGTATTGAAGTAGTTTGTCATAACATTCAGACAAGTGGGAAGGATTAATTTTTCCAGGATGCTCAAATCCAAGTAAAATCGGCCTCCCAAATAGGATTTCATGAGGGGTGAGACCATGTTTGTGGTTCGGGGTATTTCAGATATGTACGAGGGTAAGGGGCAATGCCTGCGGCCACTTGAGTCCAGTATCAGAGATAATCTTGCTTAACTTCCGTTTGATATTGAGGTTCTTTCTTTCAACATGCCCTGAACTTTGTGGATGATATGGAGTATGGAATCATCGTTCTGTGTGGAGGGCTCCACACATATCTTGCAGGATTTTGGCCGTGAAATGGGTTCCTTTATCCGAGTCAATTTTTAAAGGGATTCCAAATCTGGGAACCACCTCAGTAGCTAATTTCTTCACCACAGTAGTGGCGTCCGCTCGGCAGCAACGGAAAGCTTCCACCCAACCACTGAAAACACATACAATAACCAGACAATACTTGAACCCACAGGAAAGGGTTAACTCTATAAAATCAATCTGCAAATATTGGAAGGGTCCATAGGCCCAAGTATGAACACTCAGAGTAGTCTTTTCTCCACCTTGGGTAGAGAACTTTTGGCAAGTAGCACAATTGCTGATGATTTTAGCAGCAGCTTGGTGAATCCCGGGCGCATACCAATGCTTCAGAATCTGGTCCGCTACCCCCCTTTTGTTCATATGTCCTAATCCATGGGTAATGGTAGCCAATTGGGACACCAACGTAGAAGGAGCCACAGGTCGTCCATCTGGTGAAAGCCAAATGTTATTATCTTGAATACGAAACCCAGCTTTGTACCAATTGTGTTGTTCCTTCTCAGGTGCCCTAGATTGCAACAGGGATAAATCATTTAGAGTCAGGGGAACAGAAACAGCAACCAGGATTTGAAATGGAGCTGGAGGTCCACAGGCAGCTGCATTCTTGGCTGAAAAATCCGCCCGTCCATTTCCTACTGATACAGTATCAGTTTTATCAGTATGAGCACTGCAATGCATAATAGAAATAGCGAAAGGTAATTGAATAGCAAGCAAGAGGTCATTAACAAGGGATCCATTAGAAATGGCACTTCCCAAGGATGTTAAGAATCCTTGATGTTTCCAAATCTGACCTACAGAATGACAGATATTAAAAGCATACATTGAGTCAGTATAAATGTTAACAGATTGATCAGTAGCTAAAATACAGGCACAAGTGACAGCAATTAGTTCAGCGGCTTGTGCACTTGTTATTCCTGGAAGAGAATGAGTTTCAATTATTGCATGATCAGAAACAACAACATACCCGCTTATGAGGTTTCCCCTTTCATCCCTTTTTGACTGGAAGTATTGGGGTATTACACACAGACTGCATTCTTATGAGCACTCCTTGTTCCAACAGGGAGGAGATTACAAGCGCTATGCCCTCCTCCGCTTCCTAGGACAAGGGGTACTGAGACACTCGAGGGTAAGGTCAGCCGTGTTTATACCCGATCCGTACAGGCTCTGCTGTTAACAGTTTCCCAACTTCATTGGAGTGAGAAGCCCACAAAGACGTTGGTACCTGGTCCAGTTCCACACTCTCCAGTTTGGAGTCTGGGTCTATACCTTGTCCGTCTGTTAACATCATGAGGAAATTTGGCACCTGATTATGGGGTATATCAACAAAGACCCCTTCAGGGGAACAATAAATTGTAGTATTCAATTTACCCATCAGATCTCTACCCATCAAGCTTACAAGCGTACTGGGGGATAACAAAAAGGCATGTTCATCTGTCAAAGGCCAAATGGTTAAGGAACACAGTTCACTCATTGCATGGGGTATAGTTACTCCCCCACCCCCACTGCATTTACTATTTCTCCAGTTCTGGCCAGATTGGGAGCTTCTAAGACATCAGGTGTAGCAGAAAGAGACAGAAGGTAACAGAGCATTGCAATGTTTTATCAGTAACCTCTTGGCATAGTCAGAATGGATTACTCCTTTGTCGGTCCTCCGGAGGGTAGTCTCTGTTGGGTGCACCTGCTGGAAAGGGGTTAGTATTGGGCCACCTCTGTCCTTGTGGCAATGGTCCGGACTGTCTGTTGGAGCCCTGGTTAAATCTAGTTTGTCGTCTTTTACGGCATTCATTTTTCCAATGGCCAAACCCACCACAGTAATTACACACATCATTAGGTTGGGGGCCACGCCGGGGTCTGTTTGGGCCTTCCCTCTGACCTTTTGGTTGCCCGTGGCCTTGTAAATCTTGTATTTGTAGTGCCATTAGGGTATTTTTAAGTTCCTTTTTCTTTTGTTTTTCTATTTGCAAGTTTTCAAAGAACTGAGTTGCAGCTTCCAAAATTTTCTCAGTAGTTTCCATTTTCCATCCAATCATATTATTAATAATCTTGTCCCCAATTTCTGGTCTTAAATTCTGCACAAAGGTGGTTACTACCATAGTGCGCATATTGGCATCATTTGGGTTAAGGGTGCTATACTTCCTCATGACTGCAAAGAGCCTTGCCTGAAAATCAATAGGGCTTTCATTTGGCTTCTGTTTGCAGTTATATACTTTAGACCAATCAGTTTGCACTGGAACCATTTCGGTAATTGCATTCAGGAGACCTGTACGATCATTTGCTAGCTCTGTACGTTCTGCAGCAGTAGTAGGAATTCCTGGCAAATCTTGGGGCCATTGCTCACCCAGATGGGCAGGAGTATCCCCAGGACCTCGCCTTGCTTGGGTGTAAAGAGTTTGCTTCTCATGGGGTTCCATTATTCCTGAGAGTATATTACTGCCAATAGAGTTAATCCGGGTAAAGTCAAGGAACAAAACAGAGGCCAGTGCTGCTGCTAAAAGATTTCCTATGTACCATCCTTCAGATGTTAGTGGAAACTTGGGCCAATATTTTTAGTACTGGGAACCTAAAATTAGGCTCCAAATTTTAATTTCAGCTGGAAGCTTCTAAGTGATGAGCACTTAAAAAATCAGGTTGTTTATTCCAATATATAGATTTTAGAGGTTTGTGTCTGTCTGAGTGTTTGTTCAAGAACTCCTCCTAGATGTTAAGACCTAGGACCACCAAATTTGGTATGCAGCTTCCTCTTCTCCAATCTGTTTACCAGATTGTCATGAAAACAGAACATCAGTGCTTCCAGGGACACATAAGAGTCCCTTTGTCATGTTGTAGGGAATCCTGCAGCTGATATCAGATAAGCTCTTTAGAGAACAGAAGTGTAGTGAGTGGGGTTTTCTGTCTGGCAACTATTTCGTGTCCATGTAAAAATAATAAAACCTTCCCCCCCCCTGCTACCAGAGATGTGTTAGTGACTGAAGATAAAATGCAAGATTAAGAACACAAAATTCTCTGTCCCCCATGTGATTTAAGTCAATGAATAATGGAGCCTTTCCTTATATCATAGAAAGAAAGTTGGTTAGGAGAAGCATATATGACTGTGATATGTGCTTAAGGATATAATAGTTTAAGAGTCCTCCAGATACAATATTAAGATATGTGATTATGGAGTCCAAATCAGTGAGTATACAATGTTGATAATCAATAACCATTTAACAATAATTTTGAACAATAATGAGAACATAAGAATGTTCGAACTTAGTCAAACCAATCATCTGTGTAGTCAATTATTCTGTCCCCAATAGTGGCCAATAACTGAGAGTCATGTGGAAGTATATAGAACAGGACAGTTGGAATGATCCAGTCCTATCTTCCCCTCCCAGCTTCTGTAGTCGGAGGTTTAGGTTTGCCCTGAGCATGGATTGCATCCCTGACCATCTTGGCTAATAGTCATTGATGCTTCTATCTTCCTTGAACATATCTCTTTTTTTTAACCCAGTTATAATTTTGGCCATCACAATATCCCCGGACAATGAGTTCCACATGTTAACTATACACTATGTGAAGAAAGCCTTCCTTTTGACTGCTTTAAACCTGCTGCCTATTAATTTCATTAGGTGACCCCTACATCTGTGATTATGTGAAGAGATCAGACAGACTTCCCTATGCAATTTCTCTACACCACTCATGATTTTATTTACATCTATCATGCCCCCTTCGCTGTCTCTTTTCTAATCTGAACATCTCTAATCTCTTTGGTCTCTCATATGTTCAATACCTTTTGTTGGCCTTCTCTGAACTTTTCCAGTTCCACTATATCCTTCTGGAGATGGGGGGATTGGAACTAGATATGATATTCAAGGTGTAAGTGCATGATGGATTTATATAGTGGCAATATTATATGTTCATCTTATTTCTATCCCTTTCTTAATAGTTCCTAACATTGTGTTAGCTTTTTTGACTGCTGTGTCACATTGAGCTCAAGAGTTCAGAGAACTATCCCTGGTGATTGCAAGACTTTTCTTGAATGATAACAGCTAATTTAGAAACCATCATTATATATGTGCAGTTTGGATTATTTTTTTCCTGTGTGCATTACTTTGCATTATTAATGTTGAATTTCCTTACCCACTTTATTCCCAGTCACCCAGTTTTGTGAGGTCCCTTTGTAAGTTCAGTCAGCTTTAGACTTAATTATCTCCAATGATAAAAAATTATCTGCATTTTGCCACATTTGTACACTCCCTTTTCCAGATCATTAATGAATATCTGGAACAGCTGAGGTTCTAGCAGAGATCCTTGGAGGACCCTGCATTTATTTGCTCTCTCTTTCTTCCTTTCAACCAATCATTGATCTATGAGAGGACTTTCCTTATTATAGTATGACTTCCTTAGGAGCCTTTGGTGAAGGACTTTGTCAAATGCTTTTAATAGCCCATAGTTGATAGGAATTATAGTTATGATTATATATTTAATTTACAGAATTCTCTTGAATTAAAATTTGGTTAGTAATATCAGACCTCAAATAAATCAACTTAGATGGTATTTATTAATCAGTTAGTAAAGACAGTACATACACAATGAGGCATAGAATTATCAATCACCATGGAAGACCTTCCCATGACAGTGGGCATTCAAAAGCTTCAGAGGGGTAGCCGAATTAGTCTGTGACTGGAAAAATTTAAAAAACAACAAATAGTCTAATAGCACCTTAAAGATTAACAAGACATGTAGATGGCATCATGAGCTTTTGTAGCCAAAACCCATTTCTGTCATCTGAAGAAGTGGGTTTTGCCTACGAAAGGCCATGATACCATCTATATCTTTTGTTAAGGTGCTACTAGACTATTTGTTGTTTTTTAATTTTTTTCCAGTCTACATTCAGTTTGCTAAAGGTCTTATTCCTTATGGTTTCAGGGAGTAATTATACTTTTGTAATCCTCATTAGTTTATCAGTCCAAGCCTTATCTATTCTCTCTTCCTGGCTCATATTTCTGCATTTCTCAGGTTATTTCATAAATTCCTTGTTCCCTGGTAATTTTCAAATCATCTGAAAAGCTAGTGTTAGTTATTATTTATGCCCTTTTTTAGACATTTTATTCATGATATATTTTATGCTCATCTTGCAGCTAGTACAAATAATACCTTACAACAGTTTAAGTATGTTATGGGTTCTTGCACTGCAAAATTCAATTTCTTGCCAGATATCTTTATTTTAATGGCCAAGCAACATCAGAGTCTTGCTCCCAGGCCAAACTTAATATATTTCCTGACCTAGCTTTCATTGTCAACCGCAGGTAAAGATTTGCACCAGGGGATGGGCTCAGATTCCTGTGGAAGAGTCAGATATCTACAAACATTGGAGGCTTTTGGAATTTCCAATGTTTATTGAGGATATGACTACCAACCCCACTTTTATGGTTTAGTAAGACAAAGATTATAACCTTTCCATTCAAAACTACTCGTGAGTGGTGGATCTGAGAAATAGACTATGACAATTGTACCAAATGAGCTGTTTTCCCTAGTGCATCATCACACGCTGCAGATGACAGATCCAAGATTTCTTAACAGCTCCTGTATTATAGGCAGAGGGCATGAGTTTTTATGGGCAGATATTTATCTTAT